CCCCCGAAGAAACCCCCCCTAAAACACCCCCTCCCCCCATCCTCTTGTACCTGCCATCTCAACAGGGCCTGCGCATCATCCCCTCCTCGCCGTCGCCATCACCGTCGTCTACGCGTCACCCCCCCTTGCCTTTGTCATCGCCTTCAGCGTCGTCGTCGTCGTCCTCGGGGGGACCTGTCCCCAGCCAATCCAACCGTTTCGCCTCCATCGAGGAGGCCAACGTGGCGTCGTGCGAGAAAGTGACCCCGCACTTAGACGCCCAATCGGGAATGTACGCAGGTGGGGGGGCGAAGGTCGGAGACGGTCTCCCCAACTTGTCCGTCATGACCTGCGCGGATTGCGTGATGTGTCGGCGGGCGTCGAACTGCCGGTTCATGGACGCCAGCAATGAAAACCCAAGCGTCGTAATGCGATCTCGGATCGTCCCCCGCCATTCGCATAATCCACATCGTGGCGGCAAGCAAATACCTCATCGCCTCTGCCATCCCCTTCAGACGCTCGTACGACACTCGACCGCCGTCCATAGCTTCTGTCGTGCCAACTGCGCTTGTGAAATCCCGCACTCATCGTCCTCGTGCCTGTCCACTATGTTCACGCCCACGAACCACAAAGGCAACTTCATGTCTACGTCCAATGTGGTGCGGAACAACATTGGGCTCACCAAACTGCGCCAGTCCTCTGCTGACCACATTGCTCTAGCGATGTCCGTGGCAGCGTGATTCAACGCGTATTGGTATGCCAAGTGATACCCCCTTTGCCAGCTCTCCGACTTGAAGACCCAACCGTGGATCGCCCTGAGGGAGATTGTCTGCACTTTCAACGCCCTCTCTTTCGCCGCGTTCAGCTCCGACTCGTCCTCGATTTTGTGTTGGGGGATGGAGTTGTGTGGAAGGGAGATGCTCCGTCGAATAGCCGGAGGCTGCACTCTCCGCGCCACTGCCACGAGATACGCGCGCGCTTCTTGGATTATCCTCACTATGGCGCTCCCCTGTGTGTCGTTCCAGAATCTGTTGTCATCCTCCCAAAGTTTGGCGGCGGCATCCATCGCATGTGTCGCCGCTCGTTGCCCGCGCAGCCTGTGCACCAGAGCCTCGTCGTCTTCCCCGGCCGCCGCGCCACCTCCTCCCTTAGGGACTTCAACCGCCTCTCCCGAGACCGCCACAGCGCCACCGCGCGCCACCACCGCGGGAGATCGCAGCGTCCCACCTTCAACCGCTGCATGGGAACTCCCCGCCACGTTTGCAGCCGGGGTTCGGGGGCGATTCAAAGGCGCAAGCACGCGTTGCGCAGTCTCATGCGAGGTGGCCCCTTCCTTCGCGCGGCCACCGACGTCCCTCCTTGCCACGTCTCGCGCCACATCGCGTGCCACGTCGACAAACACTCATTGGTTGGCCGCGGCAACGCCACCTCCGCGCCGTGCGGTCGGTGTCCCTTCCCCCCCCTCGTTTATTCTAACCCCCCCCGCGGAGCTGACCCTCGCCTTCCTCTGCAGTGGTTCATCGTCGTCGTCTTCAAAGTCGTCGTCGTCGTTCGTCATCTCTTCCTCCACCACAGCCTCCTCCACAACGTCTCGCGCACTGCCAGCGGCACGGCTTGGACGACCTTCCTCTGCCTCTTCGCTTGATGCCGTCCCTTCTTCGCGGGGGCCGCGCCTTCCACGATCTGCTTCAAGGCAGCCTTCCCCCGTCCAGCTCCGCGGGAAGACATGGCAGATCCGAAAAAAGCGCCTTCGATCGCGGTCGGTGGTTCGCACAGCTTGCGGACGAGTGCACCGTGCGGCGGCTGGATGATTGCAGGGCGGCGAGAATGGAAGACAGAGAATGGAACAGACGGCTATGATTACACGGATGGAGTACAGGGTGGCGAATTACGGACAGGGCGACGTCGACGAATGGCGGCACGACGAACGGCGGCAAGAGCGGCGACGACGAGCGACGGCAGGTGACGACAGGGCGACGACAAAGAATGACGGCAAGACGATTGGCGGACAACAGAGATGGCAGATGGCGCGTCGCAGATGGGTACGTGGTCGACGACTACAGTGCCCGTTAACCAAGTTGCGCGGCGGGAGTAGGCGACGGCACAACCGCGCGCGAAAGGCAGAGAAGAGCGCGGCGAGAAAGCAGTCGACTGCAGTGCTCGCAATCCATGTGCGCGCTCGAAATGCGTTTGGGGATGAGTGGCTCGTGCTCGTGATTTATTGAGCGCGGTGGACGGTGGCTGGGAGTGATGCCACGGCGACCTTTCGATGAAAGTGCGACGAGTACTCTCGCCGAACGACGATGGCCTGGAGCACACTGTCGACGGGGAGTGGGAGTGCGATGTGACACCCTCCGTCCACGCAGGCTTGAAAAAAATGGATATCCCCGTGGACAATCGAAAGGGACCCTGCCCCCCGCCGCGTCATCCAGGACCCCCTCCGATAACCCACTCCCCC